TCAAGTTTCAAGTGGTCACTTCCATCTCTGGCTTCTCCAGAGCTGGTGAAAGCCAAGTGGTTCTTCCCAAGCAGGACACATAGGCTCAGGTGTTTGGCTTTAGAGAGAAGAGGGAGTGGAGTCTCTGCCCAAGTTCCAGTGAAATGTGTAAATTTCCTGAGTTTGTGGTTGAAACTGGTCTCCCTGGACCAGCAGTTTGACGTTTTCCCCCTGTGGTGTCATATTCATGTTTCCACATTTAACATTTCAGACTGAATGAACATTGTGGTCTAAGGATTTAAAAGATTTATAATGGAGTCTTGAAAATTTACTTAAGCAATATGTACTTCCCCAAGCAATAACAAATATTACTACAAATGACCATGTGAAATTAAAGTAATTTAGGCATTTCTGATGTGTCAGAAAATCAAAAATAATCTTACAGCAGCTTCAGTTTCAAAATGAAAACATGGCTTTGCCTGACCACAGATTTCCAGGCTGTTAGTCAACACTGAAGGAAACCTAAGGTGACTTTTCTTTCTTTAGAAATACCACATTTTCTCTACATGTAGGAAAGCAATATTAAAAGGGAAATGCCCTGAAAAATCAGCCATAGTTGTATCTGGAAACTTTAAAAGTTCTGGGACTCCTTTTTTCACTAGCTGAGTGGTGAGGATGTGGATGGTCATTTTGTTACTGTTTAAACTGTGCATGTAAATATGTACATAATTTGTGTATATATACTCCACAATTTTAAAAAATGTTTTTAAACACAAGTCACAAATACATAAAAAATTTCCCTTGTTTTTTAATGAGATATAGTTTTAAAAAGGAAAGTATCCATTCTGTATACCCTTCCCTGATGAGTGACTTTAGGGGTTCGTCAAGGAACCTGGTTCAAATGCTTTTTTCCACATTACAAAAAAACTACAAGGCTTACTGGTCAACGTTTATAATAACTGACTCTTTGGGAGGTCAAAAAAAAAAACACCTGATTTGTAATATTTGCTAATTTCCATGGTATAAATACTCCCGCTGTGGGCAATTTCAGACTACCAACATGATGTTGCTGAGAGCTGGAAAGAGATGGGCACTGGCACACCATTACAGCGTGCTATAGTGGTAACTGTACACATTCTTGGCAATCTGACCAAATAGATACAGTATTACGTAGTGTAGATACAGTAGCCTAGATGATAAGTAAAATAATTAAGAACTGATAAACTGAGTATCATTTCCTTTGATTTTAATAGGTTTTTTCTTATGCCTTCATTATAAGTTCATATAATTTAACTTTTAATAATGGATGGGCTTAACAACTGGTTTACAAAATCCCTGGAAACTTAATGAGCAGCTGTCACCAGCCAGCATAAGCCCAGTCTAGCACACTGCTACTACAAGATTAGAACAGTCCCTATTGCAAAGCAGAAAGGATTTGGGGAGGTGGGCCCAGCCAGCCTTTGCCACAGCACAGCTCCATGAGGCCACCAACCCAGGGCAGGCCACAACCCAAAGCTGTGGTCCTTCAAGGATGTGTCAAAATGCAGCTGCCATTGAAGGTGGAAGATGGTTTCGTCTGGTTTTCTGGTCAGAGCCAAGTTACTCAGGTCTTCAGGTCTTGGCTGCAGTTACAGCCTATACTCTGCCTCATCAGGTTCTTTATAAACTTGTCTCCCCCAGGGATTCCTTCCCACTGGGAACCTGCCCATCTTTTGACAAATAGCTGTATTGATGGAATATTGCTTTAAAACTTCAGGGTTTAACAAATCTCAAAAAATAGGTAGATAAAGTCATGGCAAATAAGTGAAAGAGGAAGAGGAGCAGAGCAGCTTTGCCGGGGAGAAACTGGGGAATTCTAACCAGTGCTCCCACAGCGTTTGTATTCCTATGTGTGAGTGTTGTCACCAGGAATAAATTGTGCAGCCATGTGTCTCGGTATAGCAAGGTTGCCATGATTTATGGGCGTAGCTGAAAGTTCATAACCACCACTCCGTGAGAGGGGGAAGGGTAGAGGTAGAGAAGGGTTGACAGAAGTGCTTTATGGGTTTCATGTTTAATGCTTTTAAGTTGGTGCCTCGTTCTCACTTCTAGAAAGCACTTAGCAAATACAAGCCAAAAATAGATTGCCTCGTACAGCTGCCCAAACTGGAGAGGGGTGAAGGTGTGTGCGTTGTGGTGGTAGTTTCTAGTTGTTTTCTATTTGAGCTGTAGGAGAGTGTTTGTTGTACAATATAAAGCATGAGCTGATTTTTGTTTTGTTTTGTTTTTTGACAAGAGTTTCTGTCCGACATTAAATGTGCACTCTGGGCTGATTCCCTGTCAGCCATTCCACAATCCATTCTACCATGTGAGGCATGAGCCAGGTGCTGTCAGAGCTGGAAACATGCAGTATGTCCTCAAGAAACTTGGAGTTAGGTAAGGTAGACAGAATATATAGATAAAATCACATTATAAGCTTTATGTAATGATAACAGCTTCTATGATTTGAGCCACTCCTTACATGATAGGCGCTGCCACCTCAGTTAAACCTCACCACAGGGCTCTGAAGTCAGCACTGTTACTGCCCTGTCCACCAGCAGGTGATCGTCCTAGATCATGAACATTCAGACTCACAAGATGACCAGAGGCCACAGTGGGCTCTGGGTCTATTCAGGGGGACAGTGGGTGGAGCCGCAGCTTGCCGGCAAGGCCTTCTGTGGAGTCCTCACCAGTACACAGTCTGCTCACATGCAGGGGAATGCGATGGACCTCGGGCAGGAGCAGGAGCTGCCCTGGCATAAGAGGAGTCAGGGCTCCTGTAACACTCCACAGCCACCCTCCCCCATGCCCCACTGGAGGCATGCCTAGGTACAAGATCACCTCGCTCAGAAAGCCCCAAGCTCTGGCTTCCTATCAAGTATGAATACGTGTTTTCTCATTCTTGCCAGTCCAGATGCACTTTACACAGTCAGCAATCAGTCCTCTAAGGCGTGTTGCCTATCAGCATAGTTGACGTACCATATTAACAGGTTTACCAGAGTTAACCAAAGCTGAAACTCTCCTGCACAAAGGGAATCTACGTGCAATTATTAGTCCCATTTTACAGAGAATAAAGCTGAGGTTTAGAGAGGTTTATAAATTTGCCTCAATAAGTAACACAGTCAGGTCTTGAATTCTGGCCTGCCTAACTAACTCCCATGCTCTTAGCTAAGATGCAGGATGTAAAATTTTAATTCTACTCCATAGTGTATTTGTGTTGATTTTACTACTTTAAAAAAATGACTTGAATTACCAACAGTGAGAACAGTTGGTCTTCCTGGAAGAAGCAGTATGTTTTCCCTGTGATTTTGCCCACTCCCCAGCACACTGTGTACCATGCCAGCTTTAGTTCTGCTTAGAATAATAAAGCACTAGTTCCTTGCTTTTCTCTGAGAGTCCATATTTTGAACAAAGCTTAAGAGGAGGAAAGAAAAGGAGTTTTAAGAATAGTAGAGCCAACTTTGCATCTGAAAATAAGTGGTTTCCTAGCCACCAGGTGCAAACAATTCTGTTTTGCATTGTCATTCCTTCTTTTTAAGTCATCAACATCTTGTAGTACGAAGCCCAAGAGCTCAAGGCAAAGCTTGTAGCTTTATTGCAGTTCAGTTCTACATATAAAATCCAATTTATAGATGTAGATTATATTACAGAAACCATTCAAAACAACGTGCAGTCCATATTCCAAGTATGAAAGTAGACATTCTAAGACACTGTAATAATATTGTAATATGTTTCATTGGGTGTTTGATCAACTAAGCTTTTACTAGGCCTTTGGAACTGTCTTAACTTCCCAAAACTTCTTAGTGGAACAAAGACGAACTCTAAGGAATTTTGTAGGCAGAATGCATAATGGGTTGGGTAAAACACCATGCTTAAGTGTAAGGGAATTCATTTATGATTAATTGTATTAAAATAGTCAAAACACAGTGATGAGAGGTGGGTACCGACAGGACTTGAGGGGCACGTTTATATTCTGTTTCTGGGTGGAGGGCATAGATACCTGTTTTATTACTGATGCTTCCACCCACTCTGTTCACTAGGCTTTCCACCAGCAATTTTCAAAAATGCAACTGACAGAGTCTGCCTGCCAATAATACAAAAAGATGTTTGCTCTTTAGGTAAAAGCTGCCTTATAGACATTTTGAATCTTGTGTTACACGAATCTATGAAATGTTAGATTATACACAGAAAAGAACAAAGCTTGAATAATACGAGCCAAAGTGTTCAAAGAATACCTTTGAAGTTTCCAAAGTCAAACTATCAGGAAGTCACTTTTCTCTTTATGAGCAGTAAAATCACCATGTGAGCAGACCGTTAGTGGAGTTCTTCCGCCCTGTACGGCTCTCTTCCAGTCTTGAATCTCCTGGGCAGATTTGTTCAGGGGTTCTGTGACTGTTTGCAGATGTGGGTATGGCCGTGTGCTAGCAAAGATGGTAGGAACTTGAGTCCTTTTCTTTCTGCTCATTACTAAGGAGACAAGGCCTTCAGTCAGTCATGACAAATTTTAAAACCCAAATAATAAGAGAATCCAGAGTCACAAAAAAGAACCAGAGTTTTCATGAGACCACATATGTTGAGTGGCAGCGAAGTGGTACGAACAATAAATACTACCAGATGAAGGGACCCGTTCTACCTGGGAGTGGTTGGGGAACTGAGATTGGGTAGACTTTCTGTGGGGTGGAGGAGAGAGAGGCCCTCGCAAGAGAAGGGGAGCCTTATGCCTGCAGGCCCTGCGGTGATGTGGGTAGGGTCTGTGTGCATGCATTTTCCCCGAAGAGGGTTTGCCCACAGAAGAAATGGGCCCGACTGTGAGGAACCTTAAAGCAATGAGCTAAAGATAACTTCACCATGTAGGGAAAGGAAATGTGTTGTGAATTTTTGAGATAGAGACAGACCTGTGAACAAGCGCCCTTGCCAGGGTGGAGCCCCTGTCAAACTCATTGGCACAATCCTCATGCCCTCAGATGGCTGGCCCCCTTACTTACCTCCCACTGTTGCTTCAGGTTCATGACAGATGCTGCCCGCAGAGAGCAGGAGTCCCTGAAGAAGAAGATTCAGCCGAAGCTCTCGCTGACCTTGTCCAGCTCAGTGTCTCGAGGGAACGTGTCCACTCCACCTCGTCACAGCAGCGGCAGCCTGACTCCCCCGGTGACCCCACCCATCACCCCGTCCTCCTCCTTCCGCAGCAGCACCCCTACAGGTGAGCCAGGTGGCCTGCGTCATAGGTATAAGGGGGTGGGCGCCCAGGGGCTGTGCTGTGTGATACGCTGGGGACAGATGATGATTCAGACATGTCTCTTCTTTTACCCTTTACTGGCCTTGGAGTTTGAAGTTTGTTGATTGATTTGTCTTTTTGTTACTGATGAACTATTTATAAATTGTTTATAATACATATATGATAGTGGTTTTATAGATTCTTTTTCAAGCCTTTGCCATTTACAGATAAAGTATTGTGATGTCTGGGGTTTACTTCAATCAGATTGAGGAGTAGATGGAACAAGATTGTCATGTGTTGATTATTGTTCAGGCTAGGTGATGAGTACATAGGGGTTCATTATGCCACGCTCTCTATTTTTGCTTATTTAAAATTTTTTCCATAATAAAATGATTAATTAAAAAAAAGTTTAAGAGTACCTTCTGTGTGCCAGGCACTGAGCTACAGTAGTGAGCTGGAGTTGCCCCATAACCTGTCCTCAAGGAGCTTAGGCCTAGCAGGAGATATTGGCAGATAGAGATACCAGTAAGACACCCTTGTCTTCCCTCCCAAAAATGGAAGGAACTGAAAAACAAAGCAGGAGTCAGAGGTAGAGATCAAAATCAACTTTCTTAGTGCATAAGCTCAAATGTACAATGGAGTTTGGGTCTGTAAGCATTGGGCTTCTTAGTCTGTCTTTCCTAAATTTAACTTATTTCCCAGACTTCCTTTCTAACTTAACCTGGAGTGGAAATAGACCAGGGTGCAGTCTGGGCCTGAGCTGAGCGTGGCACAGTCTCTTCACACTGCAAAGATCCTCGAAGTTATTGCTCTGTGGGCTGGAGTGACTTAAGATGGTAGAAAGAGGTGACCTCTTCTTTCTCCCATCTGAGAACCAGGAATGCATTTCCCTTCTCCCAAGTCAGAGTATAGACAGGCAATAGCCAAATAAATACATCAATAAATAGAACACTGTAATCATGACAAGTGCTATGTACAACTCAGTGACTTTGGAGTATCCAGAGAGTTCAACCCAACCAGGAAAAGCTTCCCCAAAGATAAATAGGAATCAAGTAGGTAAGGAGGGAAAGGAGGGTCCAGCCAGGCAACAGCACTCACCAGAGGCTCTGTGAGGGGGGCGCCTGGCGGGTCCCAGGTACCAGAAGCAGGCAAAGTGGCCAGGTGTTAGAGGCCAAGGAGGACAGCCTTGGGTCTTACTAAAGATTCTTGTTCATCCTAAGAGCAAAGAGAATCACACCATCATCTCCATAGCATCGCCTCCTTGACTGTGGGTAAAAATGTTAATTTTCTCTTAATGACTTTTCTTTCATCCATCTCTGATCAAAGGAGGGGACTACAGTAGTATTTCTGAAAGTTTGTTTCAGAATATTATTCTCACAAAAGGGTAGTTGGGGAAAAGGGATTCTTTAATAACTTTGGGGAAATGATAGGTTAACCAAAGGTAAACTGGTTTCTTTAATGCAGCGTTTTAGTATACACCACTATTCTCCAAGGGGAGGATTTAGTTCTATTCCCAAACTTTGATGATGGGACCTGTTTTCCTAGGGGCAGGCTGGGGGACTCGTGGTTGACAGGCAGCCTGTGCTGTCAGGACTGGGCGTTCTGAAGACAGGATAAGGGTGGGAGGCAGGTGGGTCAGAGTTCCCACCTGAAAGCCCTTTACATTACATATCACTGATAACGCCCTCTGTGTGGGTTGTTGTGTGAGAGTTAACTGGGGTAGCCTATGTATGTGCCCAATGTCCCATAAATGTTCATCTCTGATCTGCAGTTTTCAACTAGTTGCTGTAGGAACAAAATCAGGGTCAGTTCTCTGCAGAGGATGAAGTGGTGGTTCATTTGTGTTGGGCATTTGTCCATTTCCTTAGATAGGCCACCGTATATTAGTCTGTGAAGATTTACTTCCCAGGATCTTTGTGTAACATTTACTGTGTGAATCTAAGGAATGCTGTGAGAATGTAGTATAATTCTGCAGTTCTCTATTCTGGGTATTTCTATGAATATGTATTCGTATATAATGAATTATGAAGGCAGTTTTATACCTGGGTGTGTTTTATACCTGATTTAATATGGACTGACTCACAGCCAGCATCAGATAACCACGATTCTCCCAATTAGTAAAGGGTGCCTTAAAACCCCATGAAAATAGACAGTTTAAAAGTGAGAGTTTATTATTTTTCATGTAAGAATGTTTGGAAGAAATGGAATCATTTCCTTTCCTTCAGACATAAAGAAATCTTTCTGACGCCTTGCCTATTTTAGCAATTTCCCACTGAGAGAACTAATTTATGTTGTGGTAAAGATGTATCATTTTCAGTCTGTCAAGATCATTGGTAAATTATTTGCTGCTTGAAGAACATTCCGTGTAAACATCAAAAATTAGCAGAGGAAATAGTTTCTTAAACCCCTACCCTGTACAATTTTGATTGTGTACATTTTTCAATGTTTGAAATGTTATTTTACCTGTAGTAAGAGAGATCAGCTTATTTTGCCTGACTAATATGGTTTCAGTCACTTTCATTGCCAGGTTATAAATAATATTCCATGTTTCTACCTTCTAAATTTACTCATCCAAGTTCCATATCCAAGGTGCATTCCTGGCCCAGAAGTAATAGTAATCTTGAGAAAACTTCATTTATAAAACATTCCTTATAATATACTGTCTTTATGAGACCAAATTAGAGCTCAGCTTAATCCAGAGTTGAAGTGTTTCCTAGATATTCTTGGACCCAGGATTTATTTTGAATGCCAAATCCTAGGAATTCTCTTTTTATCCTAAGAGAATCTTTTTATCTTACCTTTGTCATTTCCTAAACTTACTTGTTTTGTTTTAATATTTATTTTTTAAAGTATTCACTTAAGGAAAGTTTGAAGTGGTTTAAATCAATGGGTCAACAAACTTTTTCTGTAAAGGGTCAGATAATAAATAGTACTTCATGCGTTGCAGGTCATAGGGTGTCGATTTTAGGTACTCAACTCTGCCAATGCACGTAAGCAGCTATACAACTTCAGAAACAAATGGGCATGGTTTGTGCCATGAAAACTAAATGTATTTCTAAAACTTTATTTACAAGAACAGGCCAGATGTGGTCCACAGGCCATCGTTTGCCAACTCCTGGTTTAAATCACAAAGATACAGAATTTAAAGATAAACATAATTAAATTCCCTGAAAAAAGGTGTTAGAGAGACAGGGACCATGGGCTTAGACAGAGTAGGGTGAGGGCCTCTGGAAAAAGCAAGGCAAGATATTTACAGTCAAAGCAATGTAACAATGTAAAGTCCCTATCAAAACTCTGTGTTCAGCATTATGCAAATTCAAGGTCACACTAATTCTCTAGGGTAAAGATACCAGACTAGGAATATAGACATCTTCAGTGAGATGAGTAATAGTCAAAGGTCATTCAAGGAGCAACTTGGCCTGGAATGTTTGAGTGTTCCCCAAGGGTATCTCAGCATAACCCATGACTTCACTGTAAACAGCCCTAGCAAATAGACAACAACCCAGCCCACCTTGAGGGCAGGGCAGTTGGTACAGGTCCTTAGGGCAGGAGGTCCTAAGCCCTCAGTTACCCAAAATCCTTAACTGCCTATAAATCCCCTAGGCAAACGCACCACCCCGGGCCCTCTTGTCCCTTCCTGACATGAGCCACAAGCTCTTTCCTCTCACTTTATTTCTAAAAGCCTCTGCCCTGGCTCTCCTACCTTGGGTATTTGTTAAGTTCATTCTTCGACTCCGCAAACAAGAACCCCGGCATCATTAGAACAATTCATATCCTTCTCCTTTAGAAGTAATAATAACTAGAATGTAATTACTGAGGAAAGGCATCTCACGTTTGTAGAGTGTTTACTGTATATGCTCACAATATGCTTTATGGACAATGTTTTCAATCCTAATACCAGTCTCCCTGAGACATTATTAGTCCCATACATAGATTAAAGAGAGAGAGGCCTGATAAGGGTAACTTGCCCAAAGCCCATGTCTGCCTACTTACAAAATGTGGTCTTTCTGTTTTCTCTTAACATTAATACCTTTTTAAAAACTCTTATTAGATCTTCAGTCATCCAGTTGCCCTGGTTGCTAACTGGACAACTCCAAACCCAAACTACAGCGGTATGTTAAGATATGAAAACTGTGGTTCACCTCCATTCACAGGGACTCCCACTGTCACCCATTGCACCATTCAAATACCATGTCAGACCTGGAGAATTCACCCGTTTGGTTTAGCAGGGTTTTCTGTTGCAAACATTCAGGTTTGCAAGCCAGTTACTAAAAGGATTATCTTGAAATTGGCTGGGTGGGAATATTTACACTATTGCCCTTAGCAAATGCTACCTATCAAGACATTCTCCCCTCCTACTTTACCATTATACCTTATTTTATCCTTTCTGTGTTTATCAGATTAATCTTACTTAGTTTGTAGAAGGGGCCATGGTCCTAATTATGTCTGAGTAAACCTAAAGCAAAAGTCAATCACCAATAAATAAATAATGGCCATTTCAAGCAGTGGATTGCTTTGCAGACATTTACAATATGCAGGTCACTATGTAATGACACGGAAAGGTTTTCATATTATCAAGTTACAAAATTGTACATGTGGTGTGATCCCAATTTTATTTTTCACTCCAAAAAAGTTAACTGTGCTTATTTTAATAAAATAAGAATTTGGATATTATTTTTCTTTTTTTTCTCTCTTTTCCTGTTTTCAAAAATGAGACCATATTACTTCTAACGAAAACAACTGTTTAGTATGTATAACTGGAAGATATGGACAGAATTAATAACCCCCACCCCCCTAGAGTTTAATTTCTTTCCTTCCGTTTAATTTAATTGCCTTTTGTTAGGGAAGGAGTGAGGTCATCCTGTAGGAGAGCCTAGGTTAGCTTTTGCATTTATCATTAGTGAGCAGTTATTTGATTTATCAGTGCTTATAGCTTACTAAGAAAGTAATTTTTTCCCCAGTCCCCATATTTGCCCACTTAATCT